TTCTGCCTGGCAGTGAGGGACAGGGAGACCAAGGCAGGGAGACAGGATGGTGTTGTGGCCAAGTATGGGGCTTTGGGGCCAGGATTTCCGGGTACAGATTCTGGTGCCATTTTTGGTTTATTACTATCAAGAAATTGATTGTTATTATACACGCTTCAAATTGTGCTGTAGTTTTCAAATTATTTCCATTTAGGATCACAGTGGTTGATATGAAAGTGGGATTTCTGGGAGGTTTAAGAAGCCTTTGATTTCAAAAGTCTAAATCCATGAAACAATTAGGGTGTGCTGTCCAAGAGGGGAACAGGTGCTTTCAGCATAGAAGGGGCAGCTCTGTCTCAGGAAACGGCTTCCCAGAGACTGCCTCGGGGAAAAGTTACTTTCTCTTCAGGGATCTATGGGGTGGAAGATTCCAGTGCCTATTCACAGGGAGGGATAAGGAGCACTGGGAGCTCCTAGCTGTGAAGGCATCAGGCCTGGCAATCAGTGGGAAACCAGGGCGACCCTCAAGGACAGAAGACCAACCCCCCATCCCTTCTAAGTCTAGGGCCTCCCTTAGTGCTGGGCCCCTGAGACCCCCTCAGTGCAGGGAGAGGGGACCAGAAAACATGGTTGACTTCAATATGCATTTTTTCCCCTATAATGACTTTAGATCTCTCTGGATTGAAGCCAAATTTGATTTGATATAGAGAAACAAAGAAATGCAGCATTTCTTAATCCATGAGGGTCATGTTGTAAATTTATGCCTGTAACAACGATTTCCTGGAACACCTGATCTGGACTCATGTTCCCTTTGCAATCTGAAATGTGGGGTTGTACATTGTACCTCCAGAAGGAGATCAAGCTTTGTTGAAACAACCTTGGTTAAGAAATCTTAAGAGTCTCAAAGATTTGGGTGGATACAGGCATCTCTCACGGCCAAGGTTGTAATGTGGCCAAGGGGGGCTCAGAGGACCTGAGTAACAGTGACAGCCAGAGAGAAGGGGGAGCCAGGCGCTGCATTCTTACACCTGCTTCCTGAGGGTGGGAACCAAGGTCTTACGCAGGTCAACTTCCTGTCTGAGCTGGCCAGCTTCCCCTTCCTGTGTGCCACTTCCTGTTTCCCATGGGATTCCTTCTTGGACCTCTGGGTCTGACATCACCTTTCATCCAATCCAGCCAGGACCCAGTTAACACAAGCTCTGTAGCATGATGGTTCGGCAAAGAGTCACGTATGGCCATGAAACAATTCCCTGAGTTATTTGGATAAAATCTGGACATAAATGTGCTTAGACTATAGGTCATGTGTCTACTTGAGTGAATGTATTCACCCCTTGCTCTGGGTTCAAATCCCGGGTCTTTTACTCACTTGCTCTGTGGCCCTAGGCAAGTAATTTGATCTCTTTGTGCTTTAGTTTCCTCCTTTGTAAAATGGGGTGAAGAATAATATTCAGCTGGTACATTGGCTCATGCTTATAATCCCAGCACTTTGGAAGGCTGTGAGGCAGGAGGATTGCTTGAGCCTGCCCCGGAGTTGGAAATCAGCCTGCGAGACCCTGTCTCTACCAAAAAAATAACATTAACCAGATATGTGGTGGTAGAGCCCTGTAGTCTCAGCTACTCGGGAGGCTGAGATGGGAGGATTGCTTGAGCCTCGGCGCTCGGGCTACAGTGAACTGTGATTGAGTCACTACACTCCAACTTGGGTGACAGAGTAAGACCCTGTCTCAAAACAAAACAAAACAAAACAAAACAAAACAAAACAGAAAACCAAAAAGAAAAAAAAATGCTATTTATCTAATTGAATCAAATTAGTAGATGAAAAGTATGTCTGATGCATAGTAAATGATCAATAAATTGTAATCACTATTACTAGTCTTTTACTTGAGGAGGAGAGGGGGCCATATTTTAGTAGTGACAGAATTCAGAGAAAGAGTTCGAAAAAGTTATTTTATCGGCCAGGCGCGGTGGCTCACGCCTATAATCCCAGCACTTTGGGAGACCGAGGTGGGTGGATCACGAGGTCAAGAGATCGAGACCATCCTGGTCAACATGGTGAAACCCCGTCTCTACTAAAAATACAAAAATTAGCTGGGCATGGTGGTGTGCGCCTGTAATCCCAGCTACTCAGGAGGCTGAGGCAGGAGAATTGCTTGAACCCAGGAGGTGGAGGTTGCGGTGAGCCAAGATTGCACTCCAGCCTGGGTAACGAGAGTGAAACTTCGTCTCAAAAAAAGAAAAAGTTATTTTTTCATGGCAGGGTGCGGTGGCTCACTCCCGTAATCCCAGCACTTTGGGAGGCTGAGGCAGGTGGATAACTTGAGGTCAGGAGTTCGAGACCAGCCTGGCCAACATGGTAAAACCTCATCTCTACTAAAAATACAAAAATTAGCCAGGCATTGTTGTGCGCTCCTGTTCTCAGCTACTCGGGAGGCTGAGGTGGGAGGATCCCTTGAACCCAGGAGGTGGAGGTTGCACTGAACCGAGACTGAGCCACTGCACTCCACCCTGGGCGACAGAGCATCACTCCATCTCAAAACAAAAAGCAAAGTTACGTTTTCTTTCTTTTTTTTTTTTGAGACGGAGTTTCGCTCTTGTTACCCAGGCTGGCATGCAATGGCGCAATCTCGGCTCACCGCAACCTCCACCTCCTGGGTTCAGGCAATTCTCCTGCCTCAGCCTCCTGAGTAGCTGGGATTACAGGCAGGCGCCACCATGCCCAGCTAATTTTTTGTATTTTTAGTAGAGACAGGGTTTCACCATGTTGACCAGGATGGTCTCGATCTCTTGACCTCATGATCCACCCGCCTCAGCCTCCCAAAGTGCTGGGATTACAGGCTTGAGCCACCGCGCCCGGCAGCTACTTTTTCTTTCATTTGTAACAGGTCTGTTAACTAGAATAACTTCATCAAACGCTTTTTGGGTTGTACCCACCAAGCAAGGACTGACAGTATCATTCTGTTGGTAGAAAATTGTTTTTCTCCTCTTTATGGACTCAGATTTATTCCTTTTTTTTATAACTTAAAGAATAGATGACAACTGCTTGTTTCATCCTGAGTAAACGAGGGCCTATCTGATCTTGATGCCTGGCCTAAATAGTATGGCAGATCCTGGACTCCTCAGCTCCTCTGTGGTCAGATAGAGGCCGAGGTGTGTGGCACCCACTCCTTCCAGAGGAGTCATCTATTGCCTGGGGTCTAGAGGTTCATACAAAACAGACAAGAAGCCAGGCATAGTGGCTTACACTGGTAATCCCAGCACTTTGGGAGGCCGAGGCAGGAGGATCACTTGAGGTCAGGAGTTCAAGACCAGCCTGGCCAACATGGTAAAACCCTGTCTCTAGCATTCCTGCATGAAGGAGGTCAGGAGAGCATCCACAGGCCTCAGGCCTGGCGGGTTCCAGGGCTCCAGGCTGTGGGTGGACTGCCCTGCCCTTTCGATACCAGTTCTCAAGCCTCTTGACCCCCGTATAGAACCTCCCTGGCCTGGAAGCCAGGGTCTCAGCAGGCCACACGGGCGAGCCTGGCCCGCCAGCTGCATGCCTGCCACGAACCCACTGCGGCTCTTCCCGAGCCCTGACTCCCAGACCACTGAGGATGGAGGGACTTCACATCACAGCTCCTCTGTGTATAGGTCTCAGGCCAAGCCCTTCCACAGACTGAGCTGTTTCCTTTCACATTCAGAAGGTGACAGCACCTGCTCAGGTGCTGTCTGAAGTGGGCCAAGGACATAAGCCCCTCTGTATGTGAAAGCAGGCCGGGGGTTCTCTGGGCTGATAGGGTGTATGTGTCACCATGTGACTTAGATCACAGCCAGCAGGGATCAGCAGTGTCCTCAGAGCCGTCAGGTCTCCCCCTGCTCCCCAGATACTTTTTGCAGCTGCAGGAACAGCCACAGATGCTAGGACCTGCTCTCACGGCAGCCGGGACTGGCCACCCAAGAAAAGAAGCCAGTGAAGTCCCAGTGGGGCCCTTGGGGACCGGCAGTGTCCTAACTGGGCTTTTTGCCAAAGCCTAGAAAGCTAAGACACTGGCCATGTTTCACTCCCTTTTTCCCTCTTTTATTTATTTATTTTTTTTTTTGAGACAGAGTGTCACTCTGTGTTGCCCAGGCTGGAGTGCAGTGGTGCAATCTAGGCTCACTGCAACCTTTGCCCCCCGAGTTCAAGTGATTTTCCTGCCTCAGCCTCCTCAGTAGCTGGGACTACAAGGTGCCCACCACCATGCCTGGCTGATTTTTGTATTTTTAGGAGAGATGGGATTTTACCATGTTAACCAGGCTGGTCTCAAACTCCTGACCTCAGGTGATCCAACCCCCTCAGCCTCCCAAAGCGCTGGGATTACATGCGGGAGCCACTGCACGTGGCCCCATTTTTCCTTCTGACTCTTGTTTTCTTACCAGTGGGGACCTGTTGCTTATGGGAAGAAAATGACATTGTCCTTATTTATTTATTTATTTTTTTGAGACAGAGTGTCACTCTGTTGCCCAGGCTGGAGTGCAATGGCACAATCTTGGCTCACTGCAACCTCTGCCTCCTGGGTTCAAGCGATTCTCCTGCCTCAGCCTCCGGAGTAGCTGGGACTACTGGTGTGCGCCACCACGCCCAGCTAATTTTTGTATTTTCAGTAGAGACAGGGTTTCACCATGTTAGTCAGGATGGTCTCGATCTCTTGACTTCGTGATCTGCCCACCTCAGCCTCCCAAAGTGCTGGAATTACAGGCGTGAGCCACCGTGCCTGGCCGACATTGTCCTTATTTTGTGACGTCTGGCAACTGTCTTTTTCCAAGGAAGCCCCTTCTCTCCGACACTGCCTCTGAGTTCAAGCCGCGGTGCAGCTCTAGTGTTTTCAAGCATCTTACAGGTGGAGATCAGCCCCGCCCTCCCCGAGATCCCCACCCTGTGTCAGAGTCGGGGCTCCACGGTGCTGCGGTCAGCACTGCTGCAGGGCTGTGCAACCCTGAGCCCCGCGGTCTCTGACTGTGGTTACCAGCACCTTAGGAGGCAGAATAGCAGACACCATCCATTTCATAAACGGCCATGTCCACAGGGTTTATTCATAAACAGCCGTGTCCACAGGGTTTATTCATAAACGGCCATGTCCACAGGGTTTATTCATAAACAGCCGTGTCCACAGGGTTTATTCATAAACAGCCGTGTCCACAGGGTTTATTCCTACATCACAAATCAGCCCCACTGACCAAACTCCCAAGTGACTTTGTATTAAACTTGTTATCGAATCACCCACATAAACACATAGAATAAATACAAACATGGGGTTTTTTTCAGTCTTTGAGAGCACTTTCTCCTCCTGTTTCCCCTCTGTCCCTGCGCTCTAAAGACACTTCCTCGAGTTCACATTATTTCCTTAAATACAAAAATCGCCCAGAAGTAAACTTGGTGCTGGAACCCCTGCCTCCATCGACAGTCCCACAGGGCACCCAGCCCACAGTGGCCCTGGGGGGAAGCCAGCCGTGGGGACTCACACGTAGTCATTCAGCCTGTACCCGCTGTGGGTGGCTGAGGTCACTGAGGGGGCCCGGTTGTCTTTGTAGGCAGCTGGTGGCTGGTAGGCGGGGGCAGTGGTCGCAGTGGCTGTGGTGGCCCTGGGCTGGGCCTGGTAGGGCTGGTAGGGTGCCTCGTTCTGGCAGGACAGGCAAAGCAGGGTGCCACCAATGAGCGAGAGGGACGAGGAGATGAAGCCCAGGTACAGGGCCTGGCCGATCTCGAACTTCATGCTGCTGGGCAGCAGCGGGTTGTAGAAGTTCTGCACCACGTCGTTGGTGGTCCAGGAGACGGCCACCATGCACAGGAGGCCGGCCAGGATGAAGAGGGCACCGCCTAGGATGGCGAAGGTGGTCTTGGCAGGCGTGCCCTTGGCGCAGCGTGTGCACTTCATCCCAATGACGGCACAGGCGCAGGCGATGCCCGAGAGCAGGCAGGAGATGACCATGAGGGCACGGGCAGCCTGGAGGTCTTGGGGCAGTGCCAGCAGGGAGCGGTAGATCTGGCACTGGTAGATGCCCGTGCTGTGCCACACGCACTCCATCCAGAGCCCTTTCAAGTAGGACACGGCTGTGAGGATGTTGGTGCCCACATGCGCTGTCCTCCGCCAGTGTGGCAGGATGGTGGTGATCAGCGTGCCCACCATGCCCAGGAAGCTGAGCAGGAAACCGAGGAGCTGCACGGCTGTGCTGGCCATGGTCGGCTGCCTGCCTAGGCCAGCCGGGCAGCTCCCTGGGCCCTCGGGGTCGTGCCGCTCCTCAGGTGCCGGCAGGAACCCTAATAAAGCCGAGCGCGGCAGGAGCAGGGAGAGAAAGGAAACGGGTTAAAGATTATCTCGTGCACTTATTTCTGTCACCGAAACCGAGTTTTCCATAGGCAGTTGGTGTGGCAATTAGCATGTTCTCAAAAATAGTTTCTGAGACGTCACTGGGTGGGAGAATACCTGCTCTCCTGGAAAGGCAGGATCTGAAGGGTGACAGCCGGATGCTGGCCTCAGGGAAGGGCTTTAGCGCCTGCGGGAAGTTCTGCTTATGTCTACCCTTAAGCACTGCTGCTGCGCTGGAGTCTCTTGTCCTTCTGTTCATCAGTAATCAGGAATAACAGTTGTTAAATCAACATGTGCTATTCACGCCCTGGACTGAGGGTGCTAAGGTGTGTGCTGGCTGCGACTTAGAAAACAGCCCTGCGTGGTTGTCGGGATGAGGGGTTTTCTGAAGCGGGAAGCTTCCCCACCCACATGCTCAGCCAGGGAGAGGTTTAGTCTCCTGGGCAGGTCAGATGCTGCCTTCAGAATTCCAGAGCTGGATGTGACCTAGAGGTTGTCAGCTGATGCTGGGGCAGGAATTTCCAAGGTCACGGCTCTTCAGGAGCTGCCGTAGGACCAAGGGCCAGCATCCCTTCTCTCCAGCACTGACCTTCACTCCCACCATGCTCCCTATTCTCTATGTCCAACTGTCATTGGTGAGGGCTGTCTGAGGGTGACTTTGTTATAAGACAGAGGCAACCACCTGGCTTTCAGGGATATGGGAATGTGGAGCCCTTTCAAAGGCTTTTAAAGAATTCTTAGCATACCAAAATCCAGGACACTTTTTGGGGACGAGGACCCAGCACCCATGTAGGGCCAGGCATATAGAAGACACTAGGAAATATGGAAAGGAAGGGAGGGAGGGAGGGAGGGAGGGAGGAGAGAGGGAAGAAAAGGAGGAGAGAGGGAGAAGGAGAAAGAAGGAAGAGGGCAGAGAAAGGAAGGGAAAAAAGGAAGAAATGAAAGCAGAAAGGGAGGGGAGGGGAAGTCCCAAGTGGACACCACTAGCTTTTCTCTCCTGCCGGGGACAAGGTGATCAACGAGACAGAGATTAGGAGGCCCTGGGCCCTGGCTGCGCTACCCAGTGGGCAACCTGGGGCTCAGCTTCTTTTTTGATTCTGAAGGGAAAAAAGGAAAACATCTCTGCCGATGTCAAGTCACTTCAGTGTCCCAAAGCGGCCAAGAACTCAGTAGGCAAAACCTGTTTCTCTTTCTGCAGAGGGCTGAGCCTCATTTAAGCAGTGCAGGCTGCACGCAGGAGGGTGGGGCCGCACAGTGCTGCCATGAGACCCTGGGACATTGTCAAGAAATGCCCAGCAGGGCAGAGTGGCTCAAGCCTGCAATCCCAGCACTTTGGGAGACTGAGGCAGATGGATACTTGAGGTCAAGAGTTTGAGACCAGCCCCGCCAACATGGTGAAACCCCATCTCTACTAAAAATACAAAAATTAGCCTTCCACGTAGCTTCTTGGAAGGCTGAGGCAGGAGAATCACTTGAACCCAGGAGACGGAGGTTGCAGTGAGCCTAGGTCGTGCCACCACACTCCAGCCTGGGTGACAGAGTGAGACTCTGTCTTGAAAAATAAATAAATAAATCCCCTGCTAGATGTAAATCACTTGGTGAATAAATAATTAATATCTGATGCCTCCACTGGGAGTCTAAACCATCATCTTGCTGATCGCAAAACATAAACTGGGTTTAAATGCCTTGGCATTGTAGGAGGTAATTGATTCTGTCCTGGTGAATGAACAAACAAAAATAAATAAGAACAAAAGCACGTGGTGCCTGACAGGACACGCGGTGGGCTGAGGGGTGTCCAGGTGGTAGGGTTTGGATTTGTGTCCCCACCCAATCTCTTGTTGAATTGCAGTCACCAGTGTTGGAGGAAGGGCCTGGTGGGAGGCAGATGGGTCACGGGGATGGACTCCCCATTGCTCTTTTTGTGATAGTGAGTTCTCACGAGATCTGCTTGTTTAAAAGCATGCGGCACCTTCCCGCTTCCCTCTCTCTCTTCCTCCTCGTCCGGCCGTGTGGCTCATGCCTGCTTCCCCTTTGCCTTCCACCAAGATTCTAAGTTTCCTAAGTCCTCCCAAGCCATGCTTCCTGAACAGCTTGTGAACCGAGAGCCGATGGAGCCTTTTTCTTTGTAAGTTACCAGTCTCAGGTCGTTCTTTGACTCCGGTTGCAGCGTGAGCACGGACGGATACTCCAAGGGAGGCTTTGCTGCTGCTGTTTTGGATGACTATTTTTTCGCAGCACAGAGTTTGCCACACGCACTGCACCGTGCACAGCGCTGGCTTTGCACAAAGCCTTTCTTCCCTCCTCTGGGCATGCACTCATTCTGTCCAGGGGCTGAGGACACCGTCAAGTCCCTGCTGGCAGCTGTCCTGTGGTCACTGCCTTGGGGGAGGTGCTGGCAGCAAGGCCAAGGTGGCCACCCTGACATGCACAGCCAGAGGGTGTGCCGGCGGACCCGCCCTGCACCCTGAGCACACGGATGACACCAGCTGAGGGGCTGAGCATGGTTTGAACATTGACACATGTCCTAGTTTATTTCCAGCAACCTAATGTGGCCATGACTGTTACCATCCCTGTTTTACACATGGGGAAACAAGAGGAGCAGAGGATGAAAATTCTATGCCTGGCCTGGCTAGTGTACTCCTTGGTGTCATCCTCCCTTTAAACACTACCTGCCTCTATGAGACAGAACAGAAGTCAGTGTGAGGGCTGAGGGGTGGGGTTAGCAACAGATTCTCCTTCCCACAGAGATCCCAGAACAGCAGCCTTGCCCCCTTTGCAGGGGTTTTGGCAATCAGGGCAACCAAGGGTCCTGCTTTGCGAGGGACTGAGGGGTTGCCCAGGGCGGGGACCTTCAGTGCGGAAGCTAAGACAGTCCCAAGGAAACCGGGACCACAGGCTTCTTCAGGTACCCAGATCTCCGAATGGCTTCTGAGATCCCTTCCTGCCCTGCTCTGAGGCTGCCTCCAGGCTGACAACCACACGGGATGTCCCTGGTCCAAGCATAGTGGGGCTTCTTGTGGCTCTCACTGTCAAGGTCAACCGTGAAGTAGATGGATCGTAAAGAATGTGGCATGAAAGCCAAGCCCATTAGGCTAGGCAAGTGGACCAGAGGTTTATTGGAGGTCTAAATATTTATGCAGAGCAATGATGGCTAATTTTAGAAACCATTAGCCTGCTATTTTTAGACTCGTGGTATAAGGATTTGCTAATTTAAGAAGTGAGTGTTAATGAGCCCCCAGCTCCCAGACACCAGCTCCCCAACCCCCTTTCCTTCTTTACCAGCAGCTGCTACTGGCATTAGGTGATAATGCAACTTCCCTGCAACTGCTTTTCACTTTGGGGCCTTTCAAGGGAAAAATAACTTTAACTGAACGCATCTCCCTGGAAACCACATACAATTCTTCCCTGCTGCTCCGGAAGTGCCCTGCCCTGCAGGGCTGTTTGTATAGGAAGGAACTTGCCCAGCCTGGCCTCCCAGGAGGAGCAGCCCCTGCAGGGCTGAACTGGTGTTCATCTGTGGGCCACTGTTTTCCTGCAGCCATGTATGTGTGTGGGAAGATTTGCTAGAGAGATACGGGTCCAGGACAGGGTTCCAAGCATCAAGCTCCAGAAAGCCCTCGGCAGGCTGGGTGGAGGTCGGAAGTCAGAATCTAACAAGATGTGTTAGAGGAATCAGTGCTGGGTCTTGCATTTGGGATCACAAAACCCTGAAAGCACAATCCTGGGTGGGGAGTATGTGGCTTAGCTGCGCACGAGAGCAGGATTTAGGGCTGAGTTTCCCAATGACTGCATCTTGGAATGCCGCATTTGCAGGATGTCTTGTGTTGAGGACATGAAGGTCAAACATGTTTGGGAAAGCCTGGGTGACTGGGGGACTTGGCATAGTTGGAAATGTGTCAGTGAGCATCGTGACTTTCCCAGAAAAGGTCTCATGTGCAGCATCTGCTAAACTTCCCTGACTAGAGAACCCCTCACACCCGCCACTCCCTTTACCAAAGAAGAACTTGCAGTAAAATCACTTGGGCACAGCACTTGGACTGGGCAGTGGTGAGATAGAGTGGGTTTCTGTATTAGTTTTTTCTCGTGCTGCTATAAAGAACTGCCTGAGGCTGGGCAATTTATAAAGAAAAGAGGTTTAATTGACTCACAGTTCTGCAGGGCTTGGGAGGCCTCAGGAAATTTACAATCCTAGCAGAAGGTGAAACAAACACATCTTTACATGGCGGCAGGAAAGAGAAGAGAGAACGGAGCCAAGGGGGAAGCCCCTTATAAAACCATCAGATCTTGTGAGAACTTACTGCGATGAGAATAGCGTGGTGGAAACCACCCCCAAGATTCAACTACCTCCCACCGGCTCCCTCCCCACAACATGCGGGGAGATTTGTGGGGGGACACAGCTGAACCATATTATTCTGCCCCTCTCAAATCTCCTGGCCCCTCTCAAATCTCACATCCTCACATTTCAAAACACAATCATGCCCTTCCAACAGTCCCCCAAGGGCTTAACTCATTCCAGAATTAATTCAAAAGTCCAAGTCTAATGTCTCATCTGAGACAAGGCAAGTCCCTTCTGCCTATGAACCTGCAAAATCAAAAAAAATTAGTTACTTCCTAGATACAATGAGGGTGCAGGCATCAGGTAAATACCCCCATTCCAAAGGGGAGAAATTGGACAAAACAAAGAGGCTACAGGCCCCATGTGAGTTTGAAATTCAACAGCACAGTCATTAAACCTTGGAGTTTCGGTCGGCTTTGTCCCCAGCAGAGAGAGTACTAGAAAATGATAGAGCTGTAAAGAATTTTGAAAATCTGTGAAGGGCACTTGTGAAACAGCAGAACTGCTATAGGCCCTCCCAACTGTCTGGTCTCGGGATCACCAGCTCTGAAGGGAGAGGGTTTGTGTGTGTTCATTATAAACTTTGATGTTGTCTCTCTCTGTTTTCTCTGAGCTATGTTTTTCTTTAAGAAAGCAGGAGCACACAGTAGGGTGCCCTCGTTTGGCTCACCTCCTGGCCCACCTGGACCCCAGCTGCATCAACTTTAGCTCCAAATTAATCATTATTTCAACAGCGATGGCCATGGGAATAGGCTGGCCAGGACTGAGGGGTGGACATGTTGCTTTCTAGCCCACGTCTTGACTGCCTCCTCCCTGGGCATGTCTGTTTCATTCTTCACTTTGTCCCATCATCTGAAGTCCTTTCTCTAGTTCTTCAGGGTGTATCCTTGGGCCTCTGTCCATCCAGGTTTCTTGGAGGGGTACAGGGGTGGGACAGGACCCACCCTATCTCACCATCGCCAAGTCCGAGTGATCGTGCTGAAGTGATTTCACTGCAAGTTGTTCTTTGGTAAAGGAGGTGGCAGGAGTCAAGTAAGTGTGTGGATGCTGCGCGTGAGACCAGGCTTCTTGGAGGGGCACAGCGGTGGGACAGGTGGGGTGTTTGAGTCCCTTGCTCTCCTTAGCCCTCAGCAGTCTCACCTGCTGCTGTCACCTCATCCCTTGCAAAATCAGCCCCTGTGATGAAAGCTTTTCTATGGACATGCATTGCTCCGTGGCTCTTGTCTACCCACACCGGTGAGGGAAATGTCAGCCCCAGATGGGAGGGGTGCTGGTCACCAGTGGGGAGCTGGGGCATGAGCCAGACACAGTGGAAGTTTCTTTATCCGAAATTGCCCTGAGCGCTACTGTGTAGGTAGGGAATTGGAGGAGGCAGCCACTGGTGCCTTTTGCCTGCCGTGTGGTCTGAGTGGCTCGCAAGGTGTCTGGGAACGAGCCATTGTACGCGTCTGCCCCCAAATGCTCTGACATGGTATTGGGTCTGTTATAGAAACAGAGTAAAACTTGATTTGCTTTCTGTAATCTCATTAGAGAAAACTGAAGTGCCACCTTCAAATGAACATCGTCATTGGCCCTTGAAAGAATGTAGAGTTGCTTCAACATTGATGATCAGTCACTTAAGAAAATGTCTGGTTCATAGGCCGGGCGCGGTGGCTCAAGCCTGTAATCCCAGCACTTTGGGAGGCCGAGGCGGGTGGATCAAGAGGTCAACAGATCGAGATCATCCTGGTCAACATGGTGAAACTCTGTCTCTACTAAAAATACAAAAAATTAGCTGGGCATGGTGGCACGTGCCTGTAATCCCAGCTACTCAGGAGGCTGAGGCAGGGGAATTGCCTGAACACAGGAGGCGGAGGTTGCGGTGAGCCGAGATCGCGCCATTGCACTCCAGCCTGGGTAAAAAGAGCTAAACTCCGTCTCAAAAAAAAAAAAAAAAGAAAAAAAAATCTGGTTCAAAAACCTGAATGTCCTCACTGTCACCCCAACCAAATGGCCTCTTTATTGTCTAGCTATTTCATAAATGCTTTAGACTGGGCACAATGTCTCACACCTGTAATCCCAGCATTTTGGGAGGCTGAGGCAGGCAGGTCACCTGAGGTTGGGAGTTCGAGACCAGCCTGGCCAATATGGTGAAACTCCCTCTCTACTAAAAATACAAACATTAGCTGGGTGTGGTGACGCACCCTTATAATCCCAGCTTCTTGCAGGCAGAGGCAGGAGAATCACTTAAACTCAGGAGGTGGAGGTTGCAGTGAGCTGAGATTGCACCACTGCACTCCAGCCTGGGTGACAGAGTGAGACTCTCTCAAACAAAACAAGATAAACCAAATCATAAATGCTTGAATTTGAGAATTAAAAATAAACTCAAGGGAGATTTGGATTCATTTAGATGAGACATATTAGCAAAACTACGCAAGACAGAGAAAGGAAAGTAACTCTTATGCTATGAAGCATCTGCATGAAATAACTTCAACTGGTATTTTTCTTTCCTTCTTTCCTTTTTTTTTTTTTTGAGACAGAGTCTTGTCTTGCTGTGTCGCCCAGGCTGGAGTACAGTGGTGTGATCTCAGCTCACTGCAACCTCTGCCTCCCAGATTTGAGCTATTCTCCTGCCTCAGCCTCCTGAGTAGCTGGAATTACAGGACCCCACAACCACATCCAGCTAAGCTTTGTACTTTTAGTAGAGATGTGGTTTCACCATGTTGGCCAGGCTGGTCTCCAACCCCCAGCCTCAAGTGATCCACCTGCCTTGGCCTCCCAAAGTGCTGGGATTACAGGTGTGAGCCTAGAATTGATAATCGCCTGGCCTCAACCAGTATTTCCTGAGGACATCTTAGACACTGTGTTTCTTAATAACCTGTGAAACAAATGCGTATCTTTTCAAGAACCTTAGGGATACTTTAGAGGGGCTGTTTTTAGCACATCTTCTTACACAAATATGTAAGAATGAGAAAGTGATCAACCGATTCCTTGGAACACCCGTTTCATATTCATTTCAAATGCACTGTACTGTGGGGTTTTTGGCTCTAAAAATAAAATTTTCTTTATTATGATTCCAAACTTTCTCTAACTTTCCTTGGGTTCTTTTTTCAGACTGGCAGGCATCTGTATTTTTAATGTGTGAGGACTTTCTGTGCCATCCAAGGGTCTTTCACGCAGTCTTTCCATGAGAGGCAGAGACAGGGGACTTACATGACTACGACTAATTACTCTCATGATAGCTACTGCTTGTCGTTGTTATTCAGGAAAACAGATGTGAAGTATCCTACTCAAAATCATACAGAAATGACACGCTCCATGAATTCCTCCCCCCACCTTTTGGATGAATAAATCTATTTTTTATAATAAGAACTGATTTGAGGAAAAGTTTATGTTAACCCAAATGAAAACCGTGGTATGTGGTTAAATGGTTACAGAGGCTATTTTAATTCAGTAAGGTTGGATGATCTATTGATTTACTGAAAACTACAAACTTAAGTCACTAGCATTTAAACACAAACATTTAAAAAACCCTTTCTGGAGGCATTCTCTCTCTCATTTCAACTCACCAAAGTTCATTAGAATTCATTTAAAATGCAGTAGATTAACATTTTTCTTTTTTTGAGATGGAGTCTCACTCTGTCACCCTGGCTGGAGTGCAGTGGTATGATCTTGGCTCACTGTAACCTCTGCTTCCCAGGTTCAAGTAAGTCTCCTGCCTCAACCTCCCAAGTAGCTGGGATTACAGGCATGCACGACCATACCTGGCTAATTTTTTTGTGTGTGTGTATTTTTAGTAGAGACAGAGTTTCACCATACTGGCCAGGCTGGTCTCGAACTCCTGAACTTGTGACCCACCTGCTTTAGCCTCCTAAAATGCTGGGATGACAGGCACAAGCCACCACGCCCGGCCTAAAATGCAGTAGATCAACATTTAAAAATGAAATGACTGAATTTCATTTACTTAAAAACATTGGTGCCTTTTCAGAGCGATTTTTCCTGACAAGATAGGCAGGTTTGCTATGTTGTTGTTTTTCATTTTTCAAGGTGTAGGTGATGAAAAACTTGCCATCTGAGAACAAAGATGCTAGAAAAGTAAAACAAAAAATAAAAACCCAAAAAACCCAGGTGGACATGAACATGCTTCCTAAAGCTTTCCCTGATTATTAGATGACTAATGGTTAAGTGTTCTCTGGGCACACTTTATCTAGGGGATGCTATGGATTGACCTGTTCCCCCAAAAGAGACATGTTGAAGTCCTCCCCTCTCCCCAGTGCCTCAGAATTGACCTTATTTGGAAATAGGGTCATTGCAGATATAATTAGTTAAGATGAGGTCATACTAAAATAGTGTGGATCCTAAACTGACAGGACTGCTGCGCTTATAAGAGGCTTGGCATGTGAAGACGGAAATAGATAGAACGTGTGCTGATGGAGGCAGAGGGTGGAATGAGAAGTTACCAAGCCAAGGAATGCGGAGGATGGCCAGCAAGCCACAGAGGCAGATGCTCCCTCACAGCCCTGGAAGGAACCAGCCTGCCCACACCCGAGTTTCCTGGTTCCAGCCTCCAGAATCATGGGAGAATAAATTTCTGTTGTTTCGGGCTTTCCAGTTTGCGGTGCTTTGTTGTGGCAGCCGTAGGAAACACACCCAGCAGACTGGCTGAGTGGCAGCATGGAGAATTACAGAAAAAACGCTTGGCCAGGCACTATGGCACACACCTATAATCCCAGCACCTTGGGAGGCCGAGGTGGGAGGATCACTTGAGCTCAGGAGTTCAAGACCAGCCTGGTCAACATGGTGAAACCCCGACTCTACTAAAAATAAAAAATATTAGCTGGGCATGGTGGTTCAAGCCTGTTATCCCAGCCATTTTGGAGGTGGATGTGGGAGGATGGCTTGAGCCTGGAAGGGGTAGATTGCGATGAGCAGAGATTGTGCGACTGTACTCCAGCCTGGGGGAGAGAGCCACATTGTATCGCAAAAAACAAACAAATGAAGAAACCTCATCTCTGATTATGAGAACTGGGTCCCCTTCCAGGACAGGCATTGAGCGTGATCTGGTGGCTTCACATTTGTCATTGATAAAAACAGGTCAGGTGCAGTGGCTCACACCTATAATCTCAACATTTAGAAGGCCAAGGTGGGAGGATTGCATGATTTCAGGAGTTCAAGGCCAGTCTGAGCAACATAGTGAGACCCTGTCTCTACAAAAAAAAAAAAATAATAATAATTAAAAAAATTATCTGGGCATGGTGGTGCATACCTGTATTCCCAGCTACGTTGGGTGCTGTGTGGGAAGATCACTTGATCCCAGGAGGTTGAGGCTGCAGTGAGCCATGATCGCACCACTGCACTCTAGCCTGGGCGACAGAGCGAGACCCTGTCTCAAACAAAAACAAACAAAGAAAAGAAAGATAAAGACAAAAATCAAAGCCATGTCTAGCTTCATGTCCCAAAGTGTGGAGGACATGGAGAAAGGAATCTGGAAAGCCCCCTGCAAATTTGAAAATTCAAGCACAATCTATAGCAAGTAACCCATACAGTGATTGTAATTAAATGATTCAGCTTCTCCAGATTTAGAAAGTGTGTGAATTCACGTAGCTCACGAGTTTGGAGAGTCACATCTCCAGCTTGTGTGCAATTGGCTGGGCTGCATCCAAATTGGTGACTGACCTTTTCAGACTGGATGTCTGGTTTTCTTAAGTCAACATGTCTTGGTTTCATAGACCATAAAAGCCCAAGGTTGGGGCAGAGTCCAGATTTGAATGAGGTAACTCAGAAGCCTGCGGAGGCTTTGCCTTGGAGATCCAGCAGAGCCTCTGGGCTCCCCCGTTAGTCAGGACTTACATCAAAATAGAAAAACAAAACAAGAAAAAGCCCCAAACAAGCAATAGGACATTGTCACAACTGGCTGGAAACCTTCATGAATAAGATAACTATTCTGTGAATTTTGTAAGCCTCTGAAAATTATTGAACTGGGAATGAACTGCCGTGGTTAAAACGTGGTGTCAAATGAAAACATAAGGCTAAGATTTTCTAATGCTAAGGAAAATACTATTAAACGTGAGGTTTCAAACTCATTCTCTGTCAAGTTAGGCTTTGAAGCCCAGGTGCTCCAAAGCTGTTAGTTGTTCACGATGACAGTAAAAGCAGTCACAGTTACAGAGTGTTTATGATATGCCAAACACATGCTAAGTGCTTCCATGGGCATTTAATTCTTAAGCAAATCTCAATGTGCGTGTTGCCGTCCTTACTTACAGATAGGGAAACTGAGGCATAGAACGGTTACATAACTTGTCCAAGGTTACATCTGGGCTGAAATTAGGGAGAGCAAGCAAAAGGTTCTTGTGATCATTCAGGTAAGAGATGCCGGGAGGCCGGGCCAAGGTGGCGGAGACAGAGGTGGGTGCCAGGAAGAGGTCAGTTTCTCCATTCAGGTGAGGCTGGCGGAATGTGCTGATGGTTTAGCTGTGGGGTGCAAAACGCAGGTGCCTAAGGTTATTGTCTTGGGCAACTGGAAGAATGGAGTTGCCATTTATTGAGAGCTTGAAGAGGATTGGAGACCTAGGTTTGGAGAGTGTGATGATCAATTTAACGTGTGAACTTGGCTGGGCCGTGGGGTGCCCAGATCTGTGATTGATCACTGTTCTCTGGGTTTCTGTTCGGTTAGTGTTTTGACGAGGTTAACACTGAAATTCTGCCCTCCAGAATGTGGGTGGGCCACACCCAATTAGGCGAAGGCCAGCCTGGAACACACAAAGAACACTGGTGTCTTCGTCAGCTTAGGCTGCCACAACAAAATACCACAGACCTGCTCGATTCAGCCACAGAAATTTGTCTTCTCACAATTCTGGATCCAAGATCAATGTTCTGGGTGCTTTGGTTCCTGGTAGAAATCCACAGGACCTTTTCTTTGCACGCAGGCAGACAGAAGTCGTTCTCTCTTTCCCTTCTTTTCAGAACATGAATCTCATCATGAGGTGCCCGCCCTCTTGACCTCATCAATCCCTAATGACCTCCCAAAGGCCCCTTCTCCGAATACGATCACACTGGGGCTCAGGGCTCCAATATAAGAATTTTGGGAGAATGCAATTTTTTTTTTTTTTTTGAGACAGAGTCTTCACTTTGTAGCCCAGGCTAGAGAGCATTGGTGCAATCTCTGCTCACTGCAACCTCCACCTTCTGGGTTCAAGTGATTCTCCTGCCCCAGCTTCCCAAGTAGCTGGGATTACAGGTGCCTGCCACCACATCCAGCTAATTTTTGTATTTTTAGTAGAGACAGGGTTTCACCATATTGACCAGGCTGGTCTCAAACTCCTGACCTCAGGTGATCCGCCCACCTCAACCTCCCAATGTGCTGAGATTACAGGCGTGAGCCACTGCGCCTGGTCGGGAGAATGCAAATGTTTAGTCCGTAACATGCAGCCTCCCCCGAGCAAGCAAGCTTTCTCCAGCAGACTGGCTTTTAAAACATCAGCCCTTCTCAGCTCTGTAGCAGGCTGCCTTCTGACAAACTGTAGTTTCAGCGATCCTGGTCTCCAGACAGCTAGCCTACCCCGCAGAATTTTATTTTATAGATGGGGTCTTGCTGTATTGCCCAGGCCGGTCTTGAATCTGAGAAGTCAAGAGAAGTCAAGTCTGACTTCTCAGACTCAAGACCGGCCTGGGCAATACAGCAAGATCCCATCTATAAAATAAAAGTTTATAGGCCTTCCACCTCAGCCTCCTGAGTAGCTGGGACTACAGGCATGTGCCACCATGCCTGGCTAATTTTAAAAAAGGTTTTGTAGAGATGGAGGTCCCACTATGTTGAAAAGTAACTCCTGGGCTCAAGCAGTCCTCCAGCCTTGGGCTCCTAAAGTGTTGGAATTACAGATGTGAGCCACTGGCCTGGGCCGCCCTGCAGATTTTGGACATGTCAGCCTTGACAATCATGTGAGCCAGTTCCTTATAGTAAAGAGATCTCTTTCTATGTAGATACACATCCTATTGGTTCTGTTTCTCTGGAGAACTCTGACTGATACAGAGGGTGAAGGGCAGAAGAAAGGAATTTTGTTTCGGACATATTGAGTTTGAGATGTCTGTGCCCACCCAGCTGGGAAACCCTGGTTGGATATATAGGTGCAGGGTTCAGGGAGGAACTGAACTGGAGAAATCTTTTGTGTCTCCACAGGTTGGAGATGGGATTAAAAGATGTGATAGAGGCTCCTAGGAGGGAGTGTTAAATGGGGAAGAGCAGGGGCTCCAGGGCTGATTCCAGGAAGCCTCCAACATCAGGGGAGGGATGAGGGGAGGGAGGTGAAGAGGAGCCAGCCATGGGCTACAGAGTGGCTGATAGTGAAGGGTCAACCCCAGGGAGGCTGGTGAGTAAGGACAGAGCTCCATGCTGGAGAGGGCAATCTACTACGTCCAGTCAAGTCATCTGATGGATCAAGTCATCTGGGCACTGAAAAGTGACCGCTGGAGCAGTGACATGAAGGAAATCGGAGACCTTGATAGGCTGTGTTTCGGTGGAGTTGACTGGAGTGGGTTCAAGAGACAATAGGGACAGAGGGACAGGAGAGTGAGCCCAGAGAACTCTTTCAAGAACTTGAACCATCCAGGGGCATCAGGAAATGAGGCCACAGTCTTTCCTCCAATCCTGAATGGAGGCAGCCACCTCCAGCAATGTGACCAGTGCCTCTGCCTTCATCAGCAATAGAGATCATATTTCGCATCACATCACAGGTGTTGCAGATACCTACAAAGAACATTTACCGTTGTCAAGATTTCAAATGGTACTCATAAGCCCCTTGTTAGCTCTCATCATGTAATGCATTAATAAAGGTCATGCATTACTGGGAACAAAATTGTGCTAAAATATTTTGATAACTGCTTTAATATAATTCACTTCCTTTATAATCCTGCATGCTATGTGTTCTGTTACACACTTAAAATATTGTGCTGAGAAGAATACATCAGCTTTGCCAGATTCCCCAGGGGAGCCCAGGCAATCGCCGCCATCCCCGCTGCCCAGAACAACATTGGCAACAGAAAATCAAACCCAAAGAGTTAGGAGCCTTTGCCAGCGGGATGTGTAGGCAAGAGAGGACTCTTGCTTTGCTGTTGTTTTGAAGATGGGAGACGGAAGCATGTTTGCATGCTCGAGGAAATGGTCCAGTGAGGAGGGAAACATGGTGTAGCAACAGCAGGGATGCTGAGCTCACATGGAGAGACCGGCTCTGACCATCATGTGGAGAGCGCACTCCAGAATGGGAGGGGCGCGGGAGCAGGAGGCTGGGGGATGTGGCAGCGGGCACTAACACATGTTCTGAGATTGTTCCAATTTCTCAGGGAAATGAGAAGCAACATGATGTCTGAAGACAGGAGATCGGGGAGGAGGTGCGGGAGGCTTGAGCACAGAGGAGACCATGGTCATCTAGGAGATGACAGCAGGCCTGGACCAAGTCAAGGGGCCAAGTGCTGGTCAGTGCTGGGTGCAGGTGGGGCGAGTGGTCCTTTGGGTACCAGCAGACCATCGTGCTGGACAGCCTTTCCCAGCACCGGCAGCTGCACTGCAAGGGTCCCAAGAGGACAAAGGGCTGGACTGGACTTGGTGGGGGTTTTCCTAGGGGAAAATGATGAAGGCAGACAGCCAAGGGAAATATGTGTGCACACAGAGGAATGAACATCATGGTGGGCCGTGGAGTCGAAGCTGGGATGGAGGGACATGAGGACATAAGGAGGGTCTGTGCAATCCTGGAAAAGTCACCTGGATCGGTGGATCTCCAGTCTCCTGTGGTATCCACAGCCCTTGGAGAGCTTTAGAAAGATCTGGATGCCCTGGCCATCTCTAGAGAATCTGATTCACTGACCGGGGTGGGGTCCATGTGTGGGAAGTTTCGAGCTCCTCTTCCACACCAGATGATTCTGATGTGCAGCCAGGTTTGAGAACCACTGGCTTGTTTGTTTCATTAAAAATTATTTTATTTTATTTCTATTTTAAAGACAGGTTCTCGTAGGGGCCCAGCTGGAGTGCAGTGGTGCAATCATGGCTCCCTGCAGCCTCGACCTCCTGAGCTCAAGTGATCATCCCACCTCTGAATAGCTGGGACTACAGGTGTGAGCCACTGCACCCAGCCCCACTGGCTTCACAGATGTAACTTTTATTATTATATTTTATTTTTTTGAGACAGAGTCTCGCTCTATTGCCCAGGCTGGAGTGCAGTGGTGTGCTTGGCTCACTGCAACCTCTGTCTCCTGGGTTTAAGCGATTCTCCTGCCTCAGCCCTCCCCATAGCTGGTATTACAGGCATGTGCCACCAAGCCTAGCTAAGGTAGAGACAGGGTTTCACCATGTTGGTCAGGCTGATCTCAAACTCCCAACCTCAAATGATCTGAGTGCCTCAGCCTCCCACCATGCCCGGCCTGATGTAACTTTTAAAGGTCCTATTAGGAGCTTTTTTTTTTTTAAGACAGCATTTCACTCTTTTGCCCAAGCTGGAGCTCACCGCACCTCTGCCCTCCGGGTTCAAGCGATTCTCCTGCCTCAGCCTCCCGAGTAACGGCGACTAAAGGCCCATGCCACCATGCCTGGCTAATTTTTTTGGATGTTTAGTAGCGACAAGGTTTCACCATGTTAGCTAGGATGGTCTTGGTCTCCTGACCTCATGATCCATCCTCCTTGGCCTCTCCAAGTGCTGGGATTACAGGCATGAGCCACTGCCGGGCTGGTCCTATTAGGAGCTTTAAAGAGTCCCAAAGTGTTTAACAGAGTCATAGTTCAGATGTGTGTTCTAGTGGGCCTGCCTGCTGACTGCACGCTGTCTCTGGGAACTCCTGAGTTGGGGACAGCTGTATCTGGCCTGTCCCTGGAATACGGTTGCACCCACCCATAAGGCTAGGCTCTCCCATTCCCTTTGAGCTCCTCTTCTTCCGCTACAATCTTACCTTCCCCCATGTGATCCCTGCCTTCCCCATCTAGAAAGATGTGGAGGGTTCCTTATTTATCTTGCTGCCATCTGGCTCCCACCCTCCCAGAGTCCCAGCATAGCCTGTTCTTACAACCTGGGTCCTCTTCCTGGGACCGCAGCCCCTGTGGCCACTGATCCTCCCTCGTTGTTAATGTGGCCAAGAAGTTACCCCACAGGCATTTATATTTTCATGGAGAACCTTTGAGAACAAAACTCATGGCCCTGGCCCCAAAGCATACACTCACAGTGGTAAGAATATGATAGGTCAGTCTTCCGGGAAACCCTGTGATACTTTGACACAAAGATGTTTAGAATTAATTGGGTCAGGTATGAGATTTCAGATGGTAGAAATCCTTGTGCAGGCAAAGGCCTTGCAGATAAAGTAGTGCATGGCTGGTGCAGCTTAGCCTTCAGATGGATACATGGTGGCCAGGTTGTACATTTCTCTGAAGAATATCAGGCCCTTTAGGTTACCTTTGCCTGCTCTCAGGACTGGCTAGGTAATTTGTAGAACCCAGTGCAAAATGAAAATACAGAACCCCTTGTTCAAAAATTATTAAGAATGTCAAGATGGAGTCTGCAGAATGTCAAGCCAAGTGCAAGCCCTTCTGAGCACAGGGCTCCCTGTAACTGCATGGGCCACGTGCCCATGAAGCTGGCCCTGCCTGCTATGGACATGGCGGGAACTGGACATTGGGATTTCCCCCCCAAAACAATGAGTGCATCGTGTTAGAATGTCGAAAGGAACAGAGACACTGTTGCAGTGTTCCATGGAATCAAAAATATGATTTCGGCGGGGTGTGTGGTGACTCATGCCTGTAATCCCAGCACTTTGCGAGGCCGAGGGGGCAGATCATGAGGTCAGGAGTTCGAAACCAGCCTAGCCAACATAGCGAAACCCTGTCTCTAAAAATACAAAAAAATTAGCCGGGCATGGTGGTGGGCACCTGTAATCCCAGTACTTGGGAGGCTGAGGCAAGGAGAATCACTTGAAGCTGGGAGGTGAAGGTTGCAGTGAGCCAAGATCATGCCATGGCAATAGTGCGAGACTCCATCTCAAAAAAAAAAGTTTAATGTGTTTACTTTTCCTTCATTCAAGTGTAGCCCAGATGCCTCTGTGAATATCTGCAATGGAAGAGCCTTTTTTTTTTTTGAGACAGAGTTTTTCTCTGTTGCCTAGGCTGGAGTGCAGTGGCACAATCTCGACTCACTGCAGTCTCCGCCTCCCAGTTTCAAGTGATTCTCCTACTTCAGCCTCCCGAGTAGCTGGGATTACAGGTGTGAGCCACCACGCCTGACTAATTTTTGTATTTTTAGTAGAGATGGGGTTTCACTATGTTGGTCAGGCTGGTCTCAAACTCCTGATCTCGTGATCCACCCGCCTTGGCCTCCCAAAGTGCTGGGATTACAGGTGTGAGGCACCATGCCCAGCCAGAAGAGCCTTTTGAAAACAAAGCTCTTGCTGGTCTCCTGTGCCCAAGAGTGGCTGCCGGTGGAAACAGACCTGCTGTTCTAAATCTCAGTTTTTGTTTCTTTCTTCTTCCAGGGAAGCTGTACATGAGCACGTGCACTTCCAGACCTAGAAGGGAACAGCTGCCACCAAGTGTCTTGCCTCTTTGCACAAGGGACTCAGCTCAGAGCTTCTGCTGACCCTGGCAGGTCTCCCTGACACTGCTCCTGGGAATGAAGTGGACCAGGTAAGTGAATGAACCTCAGCTTCTCCCGTCCTTCTTTTTACAGAGTCACCCAACAGGGAGAGAAGAAGGAGGCTGTAGCAGCTCACGCCCAGGAGTCCTCCCAGCAAATCGCCCAGAGTAGAAAATTCTCCACACGATGTTGCTACTGGCCACCCAGTGAAAAGTCCACGGCCCTGTCAGCCACCTGTCCTGCTAACGCTGTGAGTAAAGAATCCACAGATCAGCTGGAAGGAGGAAAGTTTGAGTTTGAAAATGCCCAGAATCATTCCTGAACTGGCAAGGCTGACCACCTGTACTTTAACAATACATCGGTACTAGCCTCGTAAACCAGACTTTTAGATTCTTACTCATGTAATGAAAGATCTTTTTCAATAGATAGGCAACAGAATGATTTTTTTAAAACAAAAATGGACATATTCCATTTTATTGATCTTTACAAAAAAAAAACTAACTGGAAAACAGGAAATATTTACTAGTAACATTTTCTTTCTTTCTTTTTTTTGAGACAGAGTCTTGCTCTGTCGCTCAGTCTAGAGTGCAGTGGCACACTCTCAGCTCATTGCAACCTCTGCCTCCCAGGTTCAAGCCTCAGCCTCCCCAGTAGCTGAGATTACAGGTGTACCCCACCTTGCCTGGTTAATTTTTGTATTTTTAGTAGAAATGGGGTTTCACCATCTTGGTCAGACTGGTCTCAAACTTCTGACCTCATGATCCACCTGCCTTGGGCCTCCCAAAGTGCTGGGATTACAGGGATGAGCCACCACGCCCAACCAATAGTAATATTTTCATAGCACCAAAGGAAGAAACTATTGTTTTTCCTTTGGGTAAACAAAGGAAATAAAACACAGTAAGGTGTGTTTTACACACAGGTGGGTAAATAAAACACAGTAAGCTTGAGATTTGCAAATCAGATTGGAGCCAGATAAGGATGAAGGCTGGCGCTGGCTTCAAGTCTGATTAATCTTGGGCAAACTGCTCAGCCTATTACTCACCTGACTGTCTACATCAGAACAGCTCCTCCCCAGAGACAGCTAGAAGATGCTGAGATAATAGGTGTAAAAGCTGACAAGCCCTTTGGGAAGGATACCAGCAAATGCAAGGCATGTGCTTGGAAGTTTTATCGTCCTATCAGATGAGCCTGTCTCCAACCCCAGTGAGCTGACAGAGAGACAGGTGTGAGTGCTGAGCTCAGATCGCAGCATCTTTTCACGGCAGACCCCGGGCCAGACCCTGGGAGCACGTGATGATGAGCTGCCCTCTGGTTTCCCAAGACTTTAAAACCAAAACCCAGTGATCCAGAGCTGCTTGGCCTTGAACACTGCAGAAATTAAAGCCAGCACTCACTGAAAATCAGTGAGGACAGCACTCCACGGTTCGGGGACCCTCTCGGGGCACTGATCCTGGTTCCTTTTCTATTTCGCCTGGGTCCTGCCTGCCCATCCTGGGAAGCCATGGCAGCTGCTGGGATATAGGGAATTACTACAGGGGATTGGAAGATTCACTCACGTCTCAAATTCCATGGCCTTTCTCCTCTCCAGCACCATTTTTTACTCTTATTGAGAGAGATCACTTTCCCAGCCCTTCTGCCATGCCAGTATGTGTCTGTGTCGGGGCCAGGGGTGTATTTAGGGAGGAGGAGAATGTCCTCAAATCTGGGAACTCAGAACACTCCGCCTGGCCCTGTTTGCAGAAAAACGAGGGAGTCCCAGCAGACAGAAGCGGGCAGTGGCACTGAGCTCCCTGAGCTGACTCGTGGCCTCAAAACCCTCAACAGATTCAGTCCTCACCCTCAAACAGGCCCGGTAAGCAATGAGAGAGTTCTGCCAGACACTCAAGAACCAGATTATCGTCCTTCCTGGCTCATTAGGAACCTGGCTGCCCTCATGCAGAGAGACAGGGGCCACCCAGCCCAGCCTGCAGCTGCCTTTCCATCAGGGGCCAGCACGATCCCTTCCCCTGGAGAACGCTGCAACCCCTGGTCTCATGCACATCTAACAGGCGGGGCCTCAGGGCTTCCAAAACGGATGACTGTCAACCCCAATCCTGTCTACCCACATCCACAGCTTCACCCCAAACTCACATGCAGAGAACCTCGAGTCCCATCAGCCCGCTCAGGTTCCTTGCCAGCCGGAGCCCCTCTGGAGCCTGGCTGGACTCCAGCTGCCATGCACAACAGGACTTAGCAGGGACGCTGTCGCCCTCCTGCCTTCCCTCTTCTGCTGACCGGTCGCTTCCGGGATGGAGTATTTGAGAGAAAATTGTCTAGACAATTACACTGTTCCTTAGAACGGTCTGCGTGGGCACACATGCCACTTGGTTAACCAGCATGAGAGGGGGTGGCTTGGCCAGAGCAGACATTCAAGACCAACCAGAAATGTCATTTCTGCACAGTGGAAGAGGAATGTGCGATACATCAGAACCTGGGCATCTCCTTCACAACATGCCCTCAGGATCAAGCCTCCCCTACCCAGCCTGGCAGGGTTGCGGGGCGTCCATGGTCCCGCCCCACGCCTCGCCTGCTCTCTGCTCTGGGTCCATTGGCTGTTCACATTCATGCTCCTGTGTCCTGGAACTGCCTGATTCTTGTAGATTACTAAAAATCTACAGCTCGTTCCCTCCTGTGCTCTGATCACCTGCTCACAGCGACTGTGTCCTCCTCTGAGCCACTACCTGGCGGTTGTCCCCACACTGCTTTGGGCTCTTCTGATATTGAGCAGCTCAGCTTCTCAGCCTTCAGGCTGCTGTGGGCCCTAGATGCATGCTGGTCGATTCTGAGCAACAAGCAACTGCTTTCGTTTGTTTGCTTTTTCCTACAACGGAAGCTGTGGGTGATTCGGGTGGTCAGTGGGTGGACTGTGGAGCTGGATGGGTCAAGGAGCACAGCGTGGAACGAGGGACAATTTGCTATGACTTGGAGATAAGAGACAGTGAAGCCACTGCTGATGGAAGAAGGTGGCTTTCCTGGAAGGTCAAGACATTTGCTTGAGAGCGATGTCCAGCAGGGCTGGGGAGACTTCTGCTGGAAGGGAGGGCACCCAGGGGAGGCTGAGGGAACTGGGCCGGGCTGGGAATGCCTCCAGCCCTTTCAGGATTGATTCAGTGATTATGAGATGTTTAGCCTTGAAAATTGCAAAATTACATCTCTTGGTGGTAATATATAGCCAAAAGCCAGCACCCTGAGTAGCTTCAAGGTTTGGGGACCCTCTCAAGGCACGAATCCCATTTCCTTTTCTAATTTGAAAATTGCTGTGGGCGATTCTGGAATTCAGAAGTGTGCTGGGAATCATGGATTTAACATGACAAGCATTTCCGCCCCTTCCTCACTGAGCCCCCCGAGGATGCTCCGGGGCCAGGGACTTACTCGGGCTTCTGCGTGTCTTCCACAGCATGTACCAATCCACCTGGCTCTTGTTGGTGCTTAATAAAAAGATGCAGCAAAGGAACCTGGTGTGGACGAATGCCTCGGTCGTGGAACGGAAGCCTGGCCCCTGTGTCCTCGGCAATGGGACGGTGAAGGACAGAAAGGCAGCACATCTGACGGTGTCAGGAGCTTGGAGCAGGCGTTCAGAAGCATCTGTTAATGTTACTGATGGAGGATTGATAGACACATAACCCACATCTGCATAGCTTTTTTGGTCTTTTCTTTGGCAGTGAAGAGTCACACACAAAAACAACTTTGGATCAGGTCATTTATAGGCTCAGATCCTCTATCCTTGGAGGTTTCTCACCAGATATACTATTTCACTATCCATGCCAGGAAACTCACATAACACTACGCAGAATTTTACCTGACAATGAAATAGACCTTTTTGTTAGATCCTCTGCCCCACCTAAAGAGTTACACAAGCTGAGATGAAATTGTTAAAGGAATGAACTAACTTGGGGATAGATCATTGCCTTTGCTGAACAACATTTTAAGGATATTGGAATATATAGGGGTATTAGCATCATAGTAAAATGTGCCTGTATTATCTATAATTTTATACTGGACTTTTTTAGAAATTATTTTTATAGCTTTGCCTTTGACATGACTTGGCTACAAGTTCACTCCATTAAGTTTACAACTGGTTTTGATTTCTTGGCTTTCATTGTGTATTAGGAAACCCTGCAGAGAGAAAATGTAAACTCTAAATTGCTTTCAAATATTACAACATTGTTTAGGAATATTATACTCTAACAGTGAATGAAATGGACATAACGTTCCGTTTTGTAGACATTGCGTGAAACCATTATTAGTCTTGATTTTCTTGGGAACAATTTATTCCTGTTCTGGGCTGAAGTATAAACACTCTTTGCCCTGTGACCCTGGCCCAAGGCTCCTCTTGGATCAAATGGCCTTTCCTGGACTAGAGGGCAAAGTCACAGGAACATGATGTGACGAAATCTAAATAGAAAGGTATTGATTTGTTCTTCGTTCATCAAATAGTTATTGGACTCCAGCAAGTGTGAGTAGCAGGGAGCCTGGCTAGCACTATAACCTCCCCCGCTGCCTCTCAGAGTTGGAGCCCCAGGCACACACAAAGCCAGGGAAAATGAGGGGGTAGGGAGGCTGGTCCCCGAGGCTCCAGCCCTTCTCTCCCAATCCTCTCCCTGAGTGGGCGGCAGACTCTCCTCCTGGTTCTTCCAATCTGCCATCAGTGTCTGCCCTTGGATCTGGTTTTAAACTCTAAGGTGTAAATGACTCATAATGGCTCAACATTTTGTCCCTCCCAGGAGGTACTTTTAAGTCTAAGGAATAAAGATTTACCAGTAAAACTCCAAATGCTAATTGGGGGCAAATGAGGATTTGGAGGAGGAAGGTCTTGAGCATTTTCCTTACACTCCTGAAATCATACCACTGAGTTAGGGCAAGAACTATCCTGATGGACTGGGTATGATAGAAGTTGATGTTTCAATGGATGGATGGATGCATGGATGGATAGGTGGATGGATGGATTGATGGATGGATAGATGGATGGATGAATGGATGGACGGATGGATGAATGGATGGACAGATGGATGAATAGATGGATGAGTGGATAGATGGATGGATGAACAGATGGATGGATGGATGGATGAATAGATGGATGGATGGATAGCTGGATGGATGGATGAATGGATGAGTGGACAGATGGATGGATGAACAGATGGATGGAAGAATAGATGGATGGAGGATAGATGGATAGATGGATAGATGAATAGATGGATAGATGGATGGATAGATGAATAGATGGATAGATGGATAGATGGATGGATGGATAGATAGATGGATGGATGGATGGATGGATAGATGGATGGATGGATAGATGGATGAATAGATGGATGGATGGATGGATAGATGGATGGATGGATGGATGGATGGATAGATGGATGAATAGATAGATGGATGAATAGATGGATGGATGGATAGATGGATAGATGGATGAGTAGATAGATGGATGAATGGATGGATGGATGGATGGATGGATAGATGGATAAATGGATGGATGGACAGATGGATGAATAGATGGATGGATAGATGGATAGATGGATGGATTCATGGATGGATGGATAGATGGATAGATGGATGGATGGATAGATGGATGAATAGATAGATGGACAGATGGATGAATAGATGGATGGACAGATGGATAAATGGATGGATGGACAGATGGATGAATAGATGGATGGATAGACGGATAGTTGGATGGATTGATGGATGGATGGACAGATAGATTGATGGGTGGATTGATAGATGGATGGTTAGATGGGTAGATCACCTTTATTCTGATCTCAACTGGTCTTTGAAGCTGGATTTATTTTTTGACTTCTCATAGAGCCAGGCCAGGGTCTGACACATTAGGAAGTTGACAAAATTTGATGACTAAACAAATTAATGAAGGAAAAATTACGTATGCAGAGATGCCTGCGGTGTGGGTTACCATTTCGGATCCCCTTTGATTTGAGCGATACACGTGCTGACGGCTTGAGTCTTCATTTAGCTAACTTGCTAGAATGAAGGTTGTGGTAAAACTTGACCTTGCTCTAATCATCAACAGTATATCCTGTGAAAGCGACTACACTTCCATGAAAACCTTGGTGCTCGACTCTATGAGACCTTTGCAGAGGTCTGACCTAAGCAGATTCCTTTTGTTAATAGTGACAACAGTCACAACGGTCCTGAACACAGAGGCAGCATTCATTGTGTGCTAGCTGTGGCTTTAAGCACATTACATCTATTTACTAATTTAATCCTTAAACAACCTTCGCTTTAGGATTAACCTCATTTTATGGATGGGAAAAGGGACTGTGAGAAGTTAAATTACCCGCCCAAGGTCATAGAGCTGTAAGTGGTGGAGGCAGGGTCTGAACCCAGCACACTGGCCTCACCTTGCAGGCTCCTACCTCTACGCTGTCTCATGTTACTATCCTGTATCCATCTCCAGAATGAGCTGACAGCCGCAAGTTCTCCCCGAGGCCTCACTGCAGCCCTCGCATCTGGGCATCAGCTCCTTGACCGGCCAGGTGGTGGTGTTTCTGACTCGGGGTCTGGATCTCTCTCTGTACTGCTGAGTTCAGAGGCACTGAGGAGGGAGCCCAGTCCAGTGCTAGCTTCGCATCTCACAGCCCTTGGACAAATGTTATAACTGGAGGGTTGCACAAATGTATCATTTTCTTTCAAACTGTGGGTCTGTCTGAGCAGGAACTTCTGGGCTGGACCTCAGAAACTTCCTGACCCTTTGTCTGGAGTCGTAGGGTCTGTGTCCAGCAAGGCCTAGAGGCCATGTGAGGTCCAGAGACAGAAGCATAAGGCAGCTGCTGCCTCTGAGGCCTCATAGGAACCACGCAGTGAAGGGACCAGGCTTTCTTCCTTCTCCGTGGCAACTAGGAGTGCAAGTCAGCCTCGGAAAAGGATCGTCCATCTTTGGTTAAAAGAACAGTGAGTCCCAGGTTTGGTAAGGATGTAGCTGTGTGAGTGGATGGATGCCAAGTGCCCGGCCTGGTGCCTTTTCCACTGTAGGCATTGAGGAAGGAGAGGTTTTGTCCCCCCTTCCTGGAGACGGTGTTGTGGTTTGTGGGTTGGGACCTTTTGGGTTCCTGGCATTGACAATGGCACAGTGTGGGGCGGGGACCTTCTTGTTGGAAGAGTCTCCTTCCCTGCCTGCTGGTGACAAGGACAGGAAAAGAAGCCAGGATCCAGGCCAATTGCAATAAAGAAAGATAGCAGCAGCCTCAGAGCCACCCTTGCCCTTTAATGAGGCAAGGCAGACAGGGCCAGCTACGGGCCCACTGCAGGGATGGGCAGTCTCTGGCCTTCAGTGATGGATGCAGGACTTACGGCCCCACTGAAGGGGAGGGATGCCGGAACCTAGACTGTCCGTGCTCAGATGCAGTCTGCGTTTAGAACAGTAGGCCGTGGGGCTGTTTTAAAAAAATAGACCCATTCCTTAGGTAAATCCCATGAAACTCCCCCAAAGATGAGTGAGGTAGGCAGGGGATGAGGCTCGGATCCTATTTACGCATGAGTCTGTTAGATTCTGGATTCAAAAGCCCTGTGTTCTTGGGTTTGAGATAGTCCTTTCTGACATGAGTGAATCGCAAGTTCGGACTTCAGAGATGGTTACTTTTCCAGCAAGAGAACAGCCCTGAAACTTGGCCAGAGCATTGGTACCCTGGTGCTGCTATAACCACAGTGCCGCACGCTAGGAGGCTTGAGACAGCTGACACTTGTCTGGAAGAGTTGCCTTGCAGTTCTGGAGGCCAGGATCCAAAACCAAGATGCCAGCAGGGCTGTGCCCCTCTGAGACTGGGTAGATGCCTTTGTGGCTGCCTCCGGCTTCTGGTGGTGGCCAGCATCCTTGGCATTCCTTGATGTTCGGCATGGCCGCTCAGATCTCTGTCTCTTTCATCACATGGTGTTCTCCCTGCATGTCTCTCCTCACATGCTCTTCTCATAAGGGTAGCTGCCAGACTAGGTTAGGGCCACTTTAATGGCCTCGTCTTAACTTGATGACATCTGCAAAGTCTCTATTTCCAAATAATAGAGACTTTGGAAAAAGAGACTTCCCAGATGTCGGTAGGGCTTCAATATGTATCTTGAGGGACAGACTTTACCCTCTGACAGTTAGCCATATGTGTACCTTACAGTTGCCACTATTTCTATGACACGGAGTGAGACTGTGATTTACTTTTTTTGTTGATGGAGTCTTGTTCTGTCGCCTAGTCTGGAGTGCAGTGGTGCGATCTCTGTTTACTGCAATCTTTGTCTCCCAGTTTCAAGGCCTCAGCCTCCCAAGTAGCTGGGATTCGAGACACGCATCACCATGTCTGGCTAAGTTTTCTATTTTCAGTAGAGACAGGGTTTCACCATGTTGGCCAGGCTGGTCTCGAACTCCTGACCTCAGTAATCTGCCCACCTTGGTCTCCCAAAGTTCTGGAATTACAGGCGTGAGCCACCGTGCCCGGCCAAGACTCTGATTTTCATTAGGAACAGAGGGATCCTGCCTGTCACCGGTGCTACCTGAAAACAGGTTAATCAACAGAGCAAGATGCTGCACTGGTGGCTGCAGCAGTCATTTCCAAATAGAGAATAAAGCAGCATGCCTTCCCAGTCCTCTGCCCTGTTCTGTCTTCTGTCTAGGGACACCCTCTCATCCTCAGACAAGTGACAATGAAGTGACAGGGCAAACCAAGCCACTGTCCAAAAATGTCACCACCTACCTTGGAGAAGCTCTGATTTCCTGTCAGTTATAAATGAAAAATCAGATATGAATCTGCTGGGAAATGAGAGTTCCATTTCTTTTTGTTGTTGCTGTTTTGAAGTTGCTAAGCTTTATTTAGCCTGTAATGGTTACAGATAACACATATGTAACCCTATATTCCGTGTCTCCCATGCAGTCCCCTGAGCAGGCTCAGCTACCCTTTCCCTCAGTCTCACTTCTTGTCTTTCCCCTTCTTGCCCTTCTTGCCATCCCTGGTGGCCTGGGAGGCCAGGGAGCCCAGAGCACTTCGAATGGCTTCATTGTTGGGATCCACACCTGGGAGACTCTCTGGGACACTCTGAAGGAACTCGG